CCCCGACAACAGAATAAACACAGAAAGGCAATTACAGAAAATCAATTGGCAAACCTTGAAGATTGCCATATGAATGCACTTTACCTGTTCTTGTTTTAGTAGCCATTGTTTTCTAACAGGAAGCGACTGTCCGTCAAATTGACTGCATGTGCATACTGTCATTAAAACGCCGGAATAAATTATAAAGAGGAAACCCTTAACTTGAGTTATGGTTTTCTCGGAAATTCCCTGTGCGAGTCATCTTCTTCTTTCTTGTTTTGTCGTCTCACTGATACCAGATTGTAGCCCCATGTCAGTGGTTTCTGTACTTGTTTTGTCGTCTCACTGATACCAGCTTGTAGCCCCATGTCAGTGGTTTCTGTACTTGTCATGCGCTTCTCGGATGGCTTGAGTGATGAGTTTGTCCAGCTTTTTTGCAGGTTTCAGCTACCTTATTTATCCATATCTTTCTTGGTCTTCCTCTCGCCTTCCTCCTAGATGTTCTGTAAACAGTCTCATATGCAGTTTGATCTTATCGCATTTTCACTAGATGGCTGAACCTTTTTACTATTTGTCTATCAGTATAATCCACACATTGTTTCATTCAAACTTTCTCACTAATGCTGGTGTTCGTAACCCAGTCTCTTCTTGTGTTGTTATTGACCTTGTGACCTTGCGGAGGCAGCGTATTTCATATGTAGTTATTTTCTGTTGTAATGCCCTATCCATTGTCCATGTTTGGCACTGATAACATAAAGTGGGAATCTCAATGCAGGTAAAACTGTAAACTCTTATATTCGTTTTCCCCCCAACATAAAAGGTTAAGTGCTAAAGATGGTGACCTTCTCATACAATTTATTCTGCTCGTGTACAGGTTAAAGTGTCGGCGTCTTTGGCTTAGGCGTGACGAACGCGCTTTGTAATACCGGGGTGCGGGTTCGATTCCAGCTGCGAGTCTTGCGCCTTGCGTTGGTTTCGACAGTGCTATCGTAAATTTGCCTAGGAAAACCACAACATTAAAAAAAAAAATTCTGGGGTTGGTTCTGCAACGTCCTGTAAAGGATACGCAACTATCTTTAAACAGGTTAAAGTTGGTCGAGTTTGTAGTGTTTTTCCTAAAAGGAACGGAACGGAATTCTGCTCGTGGTAAATGAAATAGCCATCATCATCATCATCATCATCATCATCATCATCACCAAGTGTCTTATCCCCTATGTTCATCTTCGTGCAGTTCCTACTCTGTATTATTTTACCAAGTACAACGCCCTACGATTCTGTTCTTCCCTGGTCGTTGCAATGTACGATATGGCAAATTACGTCAGTTTCTGAACCGAGATTCTATTTTAAATGCAATTTTCGACCGTGTTCAAATCTTTTAAAATGTAACATTTATGGTATGTGTATTTCAAATCTGTTACACTGACAATATTTCTGGTGTGTGTGTGTGTGTGTGTGTGTGTGTGTGTGTGTGTGTGTGCGTGTGTGCGTGTGCGCACGCGTGTGTGTATATGTGTATGTGTTCGTGTGTGTTCATGTTACACTCAGACATTTCTTTGTAATATTTTAGCCTAAAAGTCATAACGTTCTTTCTTGAATGAGAGATTATCCATGCCAGATAGTATATGCGAGATCGTCCATGCGACAAATTCTAAAACTCACATCGGCATGTTCCTACAGGAATGATAAACCAGCGAGATAGTCCAAAACTCACATAGGTATGTTCCTACTGGAATGATAAACCACGCGAGATAGTCCAAAACTCACATCTGTATGTTTACAGGGAAAGATTTAAACCCGAACGAAACGTTTATCAGCGAGCTTCACAATATAACAAACACGAACAAAACTTAAACGTTGCGGCTATGGAGCCTTCATCAGCACAAATTAGACAATACTTCACAAATACACAGTATCACTTATCTTCGTGTCTCGAAGAAGCCAGGTCAATGTCTAGCCAAGAGACTGACAGGGGCACGTGGGAAGGGGAAAATAAATATCCCGAGAAAAGCCAAGGGCCGGAACTCGAAAATAAGATGAAACTGTGTAGGCAGTTCAGTCCTCCAGGATTCTTTAAAAAAAGCTGTGTTAAGACGCATTCTCGTTTCGAATCGGCGTGATTTCTGTGAAAGACTGTTAACGACAGGGTCAGGCATAGTAATATTTGCGTTAGGTATATAAATTCGGGCACACTGTTCTACACTTACATGCTTATATACCAGACTGAAATCTAATGGTGGCATGGTCTACGCCACATCAGTTGTCTTGACTTCCCATGACATTCTCCTGGTACCCATTTAAGACTGGGTTGACTTGAAAGTCAATTATTATCGACGCAGATCTGAGCCCAAAACCTTCGGGTCAATAGACGACCGTATCGCCACTGCTCTCGATCAATCCATCGTTCAGTGTGTCCGACCACTATGCTATCTAAAGATGTACTACACACCAACATGAGATCTTTACATCTCAGTCTGGTTGGCAGACCAACAAGGAAGTTCCCAGATACCCAATTCCTACCCCC